CATCAAAATCGTTCGCAAAGAGTGAGGCTTTCACACAGTTGTATAGGCTAACATCCGTTCATCACAAAAATCACGAAGTGGACGGAAAATTGCACTCAGTCATATAAAAATTGGAACCTGATCAAGCGTTGGCATTGAGCTGTAGACTGGATTAGTGCTAGCATTTAGTCTTTAAGCGGTCTTTTGATCTTTACAAAACGTGGGGTGGGAAACTAAAGCGTCAGTGTAGAAAGTGAGTTTCAGCGTTGTGCAGATTTTGTGATACAGGTATATAGTGCTCACGTACACCTTTCACAACCTCTCTCATTGAATCGTGGAGCTGATTTATTGCTTAATCCAAGATTTGCGTTGAGCACTCCAAGGCGCGTATACTGATCTACACATCATTGAAAAAAGGCAAAGATGGAATGTCCCTAGTAAGTGCACATAGTGAAAAATAAAGACTTCTGGTGTTGAAAACCGGGTGTCAAAAACCTGGAAAAAAATCAATGACTTACTGTTGTCAATGCGATCGTCATCCTTCACAATTCCTGGCAAAGCTCCTGCGATGCGACGGAAGAGCTGAAATATCTCTGGATTACACCACGGACCAAGCAACTCAGATGAATTAAAAGAAATAATTTACACGATAGAGCAAAATTTTCATTGGCTTTATTTATCGAAGTGCTTTAGGTAGCAGCACGCGATCTAAATACACTGGTGTGCAAAACTTAGGGACGAACGTAGCTTTTCCAACGACGTGTTACTGGCGCGTAACATGACTCTATGGAACCTAACCACACATACAAAGAGCTGCCACAGGGCACTAAAGAAAGCAGTTAACAGGAACCGTTAAACGGTCCACAAAGCTATCAAAAGGTTATGATACTTCATCTGTCTCGTCCTTAAGTTTTGCACATCAGTGTACAATCCCAAGGCAGGAATTCGTGAGCGCGTTGACTTTAGCCATTTCCCCTTGCTCTCAAATCGCATAGGGATCAATAAGGCGAAGAGCAACCGCGACAGCGTTGTCGTTGTCGCGGTAAGCAGATGTCAGACTTCTCCAGGAAAAAAGGAAGGCGAAGGGGGAACAGCTTGGACGGCGATCTCCAGCGCGCCTTATTTAACACTGGTTGATGTAGCTATAGTGACTCTGACATAAGTGTCGATATAAACAAAAATTTCGCGATGACGCGTAATATTCTCAACTTTGAAAATCAGTGGTGACTTCACATTTACATTAAAATAATAGAAATGGAGAACAATAGATGAGAACTCGAATGAATAGAGCTACGATACCTGTTTGACGTTGTAACCGGCCTTGGCCGATGTTTCAATGAACATAACGTTGAGTTCATTAGCTTTACGCTGCCCTTCTTCACTTGATACTTGTCTGCAAAGCATACCATCAGTAACAGCAGAGCCCGGAAATTTGAAAACGACACATGTGATGTGAACGAAACCCACCTCTTGTCACCTAGGTCAGTTTTATTGCCAACAAGCATGATAATTACATCGCTGCCCCTTTCTGTTCGAACATCGTCTATCCACTTTGATGTTTGATGAAATGAGTTTGCATCTGAAAAGAGATAATCTTATAGGCGCTGACAACTCCTAGCATAAGATGTTTTCAGGGCAAAACTTGAAGTTTCTCTCTAGCCCATAAGCAAAGGTTTACGGACTACTTGATTTTTCCTCAATGGTCCTGCCGCGATGGCTAGAGCACAGACGATTAGAGAACGGGTGAATGCCCTAGGACTAAGCCTTGGAGAGGAGAGGGACCCGCGAGAGAGCGCAGAGGCGGTTTAAAGGGCTGAGTTCAAGTAGTCCGTGGACCCATAAACCATAAACAAAATCGCAGGTCAGCAGGTGGAACAATGGAGCGCGATCGCAAGTCAACACAACTGCGTGAAATCAGAAGACCTTTCTGGGCCTGGTATTGACCTATGGGCAGATTTCAAGGCAAATCGCCAATTTAGTGATGAAAGTTCCCAATCTCCTGATTACCTGGAAAAATATGCTGAAAAAGTACCTTTTGATTCATTACATTTTATTTCCAGGTTTCAGCGAATAAGCTCCTAGCAACATCAAACCTGCTCTCGTTCCTTCTCAAAGAAGAAGCACTCACTGTGACAATAAATAGTGGTCCGAAGATCACGCAATCCCGGAAAACTAGGCGCACTACCCATCATCCTCTGCAACGGGTGTGGTTCACTAGGACAGAAAGCGACTTTTTCGTTTCGCAGCGCGAAACATTTTCCGCTGCGGGAACCTCAGGTCCACCGCTGATCATCAGTGGACCCGAGGTTCCCGCAGCGAATCATCAGTGGACCCGAGATTCCCGCAACGAACAATGTTTCGCGCTGCGAAACGCGAAAAAGTCGCTTTCTGTCCTAGTGAACCACACCCTCTGCAACTGAGTCGCCACCCAATACTCCTACCCTGTCCATCTTCTCCATGTGAAAACTTTCGATTTTTTGAGGTTGCTGAGGAAATCGACCTGGTTTTCAGCATTGCCGAATGATGTGCAGCCGAAAATTGACTTGTTGCTTACGACCAATAATGTACACGGTTACATGCGCGTTTCAGTCTGTGAATGAATAAGCCTAACTCACTGGTGATGTCGTACACGACCACGGCAACAGTAGAATCGCGAATGTAGGAAGGGATAAGAGACCTAAAACGCTCCTGTCCAGCGGTATCCCAAAGTTGAAGGCGAACCTGGAACAGCGTAGGTTTTTCAAAGAAAATATTATAGAAATTAGTTCTATTTATTTTCGGGTGAATAAGAAAAGCAAGAAATGTAAACCGTTCTATCTTCCAGATACATAGTTTTGCTCAAGAAGTCAATACCAATGGTTGCCTGGTAGGTGTTATCAAACGAGTCGTACATGAATCGAGTGATTAAAGATGTTTTCCCGACTGAAACGTTATGATTGAATAATATCGAAGTGAAAACAAAATTACAAATCATCTCACCACTCTGTTCCCCTAAGAACACTAACTTAAACTTTTTTAGCGGATTACCAAACTCCGATGCCATGGCGCTGAAAAGAAAACTGAAATATGACCATCTATTGCTGGCACGAGAAATGACAACATCAAAAGGAAAACATTAAGGATCGCATTCAGAAATACCCAATATGTACACCACGTGTTTTTCCTTGGTAATTTGCCGAGTGGCTGTTTGAAACTCTTCTCTGAGAAAGGCGCACAAAATTTAATGACACGAGATAACAGTTGTGGAATCCAACAAACAAATGACTGTTGAGCAAGAAATCACGACGCGTGAAGATGGAAGCAGGGACCTGATGGAATGCCAAAGACAGAGCTTTACCGGAAGCTGCGCTCGCAGGCAGTTTGAAGATATTATCACGATCATGGAAAAACCTATTGCTAAGTAGAAATTAAGAAAAGAAAAGAAATAGATAACGGTAGCTACTAGGAATCACCTCAAACTCATTCCATCAGATACGGACCAGCATACGGGTTGGGCCGAAGACAAGTATTTTCCGGCCTTCAAGGGCGGTTCTGCTTCAACTAGCGGATCAGAACCCCGACCTTTTCGCGCCGCAAATCGAACAAAGTCGCATTTGTCCCTCCATCAACCATAACCCTGAGGCCCAAGCCACTACATATTATTTTGTCTAGCGGGGTTACCCTAAGCGATGTGGCAACTACAGAAAAACCAGGGAAAACCCCTGTGGAATAACCCAAACGAAATGGACCGCTGTGCCAGATTGGACAAAAGGTGGTGGTGCCCTTTTGCAGTAGAGTGGATCCGGTACATAAGCCTGAGACGTCCAAAAAAAGCCTTCCAAAAAAGTCCAGGAAAAAAAGATTTTTGCCCATGGCGCACACTAGCAAATTTTTACCATGCAGGCCATTGATGGAATTCGTGAAGCACGGTATTCCTGAAATGTCCCTCCATAAGTAGACGCAGGCCCTCCTTCACTGCCCTCACCGTCTTCAGAATATGACGTCATCTGTCATCGTCGTCGAGCTCAAGGAGGCCTACAGTAACTGCTCCAGCCTGAAGCTCTACATAATTTTATATCGATTGACCGATGGATAGCTTCCTAGAGACAGAAGCTCTGCCTATGCAAGACCCCTTCCAAGCAGCGTTCCTGATAAATCGTAATATCTCACGATCCCCCGAGGACCTCATTGAGCAACTATGCACCATGTTTCCATTCCTTTCATCCCTTTTTCTTCTGATGTCGTCCGTGAAGAGGGCTATTGTAAAGTTTTTTTGAAAGATTGGAAGTGTGCTCCTTAATGTTTAGTTGGAAATATTCGGCTTGAATTCAGCCAAAGAGGATTAGCAAGTAGAGAGTATTTTTATAGAACCCCCGCATACGCTAAAATATTCTCTAAAACCGATTATGATTTCCCCAACTGTTCCTCCATACTTGCGCTCCTAAGTTGAGCAGGGTGGAAGCAGATCTTAGGATGTGAACGCGGATAGAACAGGATTTACGGGCTATTTGAACTTCCCTCGATGCTCCTGCCGCGAATGGCTATCCGACAGACGGTACTCCTAGAAGTGATTTATCGTGAACGCCCTAACTTGGTGTGAAATCCCTTATTTTACGATCAAGAAAAGAAAAGATAAAAAAAGCACCAAGGAAGAATTGTAGGAAGACCAAAATACACTATTACCTGCCCAAATTACTGTTGAGATCAAAAGAAAAAATAATTCTCTGCAAACACTTCTGAGCGCAGTCACGATCAGTCGTACGATCAAATTATTAAGAAAGCAGTCCGTCAGTCGGTACGGTTCAGAACGTCGGTACGACTTAATCATATCGATCCACCGATCGTTTACGACGACGACTTATGGAGGGCGCAGCTAGTCGTTCGTCGACAGCAACGGTGGGGGGGCGCGCGGCGGGTCGGCCGACAGCAACGGTCGCAACTGTCTGACTGTCTGACTGCATCTAATCGTCGAATACTCAGGCAAGTCCGACGATCGATACGCATCCAATGCTGTGCGACACTTGCAGTCGTTGCTGTCGTCCGACCGACTATGCGTCCGGCCTGACTGCGCATGTAATAACGGTAATTGATGACTCTGGGTAATAAAACACCACAGGATAGTCTCTGCTCACCACACCTCACAACATCAAAGTACTTGGCACACGGCGTAGAAAAAAAAAACCGGATTGAGATCGAAGGAAAAAATGTGGTGCCAACCTGGCAAATGTCGTCCGCTCCGAAAATGAATATGATATTGGTGATCACACTGAGTAACCCTGTAAAGTTCCAGCGAGAGCAAACTTTGTGTCCCAATGAGGTTGTACGAGTGCAATCAATAATACCGAAATGTCTCCATGAGTCAAAAGAAAAAGAAACACCACAATTTTGAAACTACAATCCGATGACTTCAAAATAGAAAACTAACAAGGTGAAAAACACCACAGCTGACAGTTCATATATCCACTAGCAACTATAATAGCAGAAAAACTGTTATAATACAATGTTTCCCACATCTTCCTTGTGAAAATCACAAAAAAACATTCGTGAGGCAACGCAGGCGACAACGATGGAAGCCAATGCGGCATTCGCCGCTGCGCGCGAAATGTTGTTCCGAGCGCTCTTTTTTGCGGGATTTTCACCTCGAACACACGAGTAGCTAAGGAGTTCTTTTAATTTACGCCGACGTGAAATCCGCTTGGATGAACAAGCGAGCTTACTAATCATCTTGTTGGATTTTTTCCACACGATTGAATATGTGTTTGCATTCGCACGTGTGAAAACGGTTAGGTGGTTTGATACAGCGGAATAGGTCCTTGTACGGTGAGTCATGGGTTGAATAATCGTTGTGTTGATGAATAGTGAAACGGTACGACAACTACTTAGATTTCGTAAAGTAGGCGTCTTGCGACAGGTCCCTTACTGGGAAGCTTGCTGTTGGTGTTTCGTAAAAGTACCTACTTCGGATCGTGTCGGGGGTATATTTACATGTCCAAGTGGCTGCCCTCTCAGCACACACACTTTGGACTGAAGTACTACGAGAAAGGCTCGCAGTAGGTGACCTAACTTTAAAACTAGTCATAGCAACTTCCTACATACTTTTAAGGAAGGAAACCTAGGCAGAAACGTTGTCTGCAAAACATAGGCCATTCAACCTGCTTTCGAGCACTAGTCTCAAATCTGCTCTCTAATTTACAAAAAGAATTCTCTAAACAGAAGTATAAAGCCTTTTCCCTACAATTTTACCCCAATTGTGAGGTGAGCCATGTGCCAAGCCACTTGGTGTCAATATGAGCCCCTTTCTCGGGTTTAATACAACCTCCTTCCATCACGTCTTCTTTTTTCCCGACAGTGTATGTACCAGTGTTGCAAGGCCCGTTTCTCAGATCGATATTCGCTACTTTTTTCGGCCGAGTGCGTCTTCCTGGCGAAGCTATGCGGCTCTCATGTCCTCGTTAAAGGAAACGTGCACAAAAATCGCATGATTTCATCCCCCTTCGAATAATTCTATGGCTTGATACCCACCCTTTACAAGAAGAACGAAAAGAAGGAATAGTTGCGCTTGTTCAGGTAAACAATCCACAATAAAAAAAACACGTTTTCAAATTCCCGCCGTAGAACTGTCAAGAATGTTTATGGCGAGAGCGCTACCACTTGTTTCCTGGAGTGCTGTTACTAAAAAATCTTTTTAGCCTGCTCACCTATGGCATTACATTTCATTCTTCTACTGCAACATAATCGATCGCGCTGAAGGGTTTTGTTTTTGAGCTTCGAATTGAGGGTGCTTAAATCCAATTCCTCCCTAGGACGCGTCGCTTTAGGGCGATATCAGACTTTGCGAATCGAGCTGTGCACCAGCGAATCGAACTATGTGCCAGCGGATCGAACGATGTACCAGCGACTCGACACTGTTTGAAAGTGGCGGGACCCAACGTTTAAGGAAGTCCACTTTAAAGGAACACACTGTTTGAAAGTGGCGGGACTTCCTTTAAACGTTGGGTCCACCACTTTCAAACAGTGTTGAGTCGCTGGTACATCGTTCGGTCCGCTGGTACACAACTCAATTCGTTGATGCAACGCTTATCCATCGATTCGCTAGCGAAGTCTAACATCAGCCTTATACGCGACCGACCGCCCCATGACGCAACCAGGTGCGTCTGCAGTGCTGACTTAGCACAATGCTACACGGCAGGGTGAATAACGGTCGAGGAATTCCTCGACCATAGCTCTCTACCATGCGAGAGTAGTGCCGAGAGTGAACATCCGCGCGGAGAGCACAGACGGCACGCGCATGGCGAGTGTGAATGTCCGCGCGAGAGATCGTGTCTGATCGGGCAGAGAATCCTCGACGTGCCGTTGAGGAATCCTCAAGCGATATTCACCCTGCTATACGGTACGGCAAAGACCTCGGAAAAATCAGTACTAGGTGTGATTTGGGTGTTGCTGATATTTAATGCCATATGGTATGATCCTAACTCTGGGCAGCGTGACGCGTAAGCGCGTCCC